TTATCAGTTCCATCTAATTATGTCATAGCAAGATTGTGTTTTGCATTCTCTTTGCTCATATTATGTACAGAACACATTTTACTTTTGAATATAAGTGTGATCAGAAGTACAGTAGAGCATCAATTATTCAAATACTGATCAACCGAAACATCAGTTAATTGAAAGCGTTCCATAAGGCAAATTCAAATTTCCGCTAGTGCTGTGGTGCTGTAATATTTGGCTATGACTTGGGCTACTCCAATATTATTTTTTGTTGTTGTGCATGTTTTAGCTGGCAGCACTGACACGACCATATTGTATCATTAAAAATTATTTCTTTATTTTGCACAAACAAAATAAATATATTGAAAAATATAAAAACAAAAGAAAAAAAAATTATATTTCAGAAGTTAATCTAATATCAAAAATATTCCAATTCAGCAGGACACACGTCGAGAGGGCACTTAAGGACACGCCAGTATTTGAACGAGGCTTTTTTCCTCCCATTGTGAGTGGTGTGTTTTGCTTCAGCTTGTCAGAGAATATAGCCTAAGCAGTTGATATTTTCAGATAAAACCAAGAACAAGAAAGAGCTTTTCTTGTTTTGTATGGTGTTTTTCTGAGGACTGTGCATTGTGCTGAATTGGAACATTTTTGATACTAGAACTTCCAAAATATAATTTTTTTTTGTTTTTANAAAATTTTTATATTTTTTAATTGGAAAATTTTCTATTTTTTAAAAGGACTTTTTAGCATTTTGGCGGCTAGTAGCCTAAAAAGGAAGGTCGGTCGCCAGGATTGTATCGTCTGAAACACAGAACTAATAAATGGTGGTCCCTGTTTGGGCAAACTTGTCTTTAAAATATTAAATAATTTTATTCATTTTTATTATGCAATTGTAGTATTTAAAACAATTACTAATGTAGAATTACATACAAAAACTGCAAAACTTAATCAAAAGGTTCACTGATACACCTTTTCCTCATTGTGGACTTCCTGTATAGATATTAAAACTAAACTTCAAGCTCCAGACCTTTTTACTTGCTGAAGAGACGGAGCCTGATATTATTTGAATTGTACACTAATTGTTTATTTTCATATTATCTAGATTAGTTATTTTTCATTCTATTCCATCCATATTATTTTGCAAAAATCAGGCTCTCTCAAGTAATATTTTCTCTAGTATTTTTTTTTAAATCCTAAAGATTTTTAATATTATCATAAATCATTTTATTGTTAACTACAAATCTTTTAATTGTTAGTACTCAATCTCCTGGTTTTTTGCAATGTCTTATTCATTTTTATCATTGTTATATCTTATTACAAATGATTCATTTATTTCTTCAAAATATAAGATCAATTAAAAACAACCTTACATCACTGCATTCCTTTTTAAACGACTTTTATATTTTCACAGAAACTTGGGGAAGTTCTATTATCCCATGATATCTCAAATATAATAAACATCTTGGGCTTTGATTACTTTTCCACTTTTAGATGTTTCCAAAAAGGTGGCAGTTTAATGGTTATCTTCTCTAATCAATTAAAAATTCAAAAATTTTATGAATACCATACTAGCAATTAAAGTGAATTGTTTTCAATGCATAATTGTGTTTATGCTCTGCACTCCAAGAGTATCAATATCTTCACTAATCTGGAATGCTTTCTATCCACTCTCCAAATAACAAGACAATGACATTATTGTGTGTGGTAATTTTAACTTAACAAATGTCAACTGGGCCTTAGCTCCATCATATTCATAAATAGATAATCCCAAGTATTTCTTTTTAAACAACATTTATTATTACTTTAACTGTAATTGACATGTAAACTTTCCAACCCGAGAGAACGTCTTTCTCAACTTGTGTTCTCATTTCAATTTCAAATATCTACTTTTCCTATTACCAGTTTTAAATCTGACCATTGTTCAATTCAAATTATTCTTAACAAAATTCACACCTTTATCCAATATAACATTCATATTATTTCAATTTCTAATTGGTCTTCATTCTCTAAATATTTGAGTTTCCTCAATGAGCCTTTTCTTTTAGATCCTTCAATTAACATTAAATAATAAACACACAGCTTTTTTCCCTCACTCTATTAAGCACTTTTTAAATTATACAGTCAAAAATAGCATCCAAGAACACTAAAGAAAATGCACAATCATGTTCAATTTTTATGGTGTAGATGTTAAAAAAAAAGGAAATCCTTGCTCATTCTACATTTATAACACTACCTTAAAGCAGTATTACAAAGAATGTAAACTAAATTATTTAAATTATTTTCAGAAAATTGTTACTAACTTTGCTTTTGATCCTAAAATGTTCTGACTCTTTGTTCCCACATTCTATAAAAGTACACCTAAAAGTTGTAACAACACTGCCGATAGTGAGATATACAATGTTTATAATCAAACAAAATCATGTTTTTTTCCATATAATACCTGTAGCTCAATTTAAACCTCTATGTCCTAGGTAAAACGATAAAAATCTACTAGTCACACCTCCTTGCAGGCCATATTCTCCTTGAAGTCATAAAATCCATAAACACTTTCATCTTTAGTCCTGATAATATTCCTATTTTTTATAAAAAGCTAGCACCTATTTCCACCTCTGTATTTCTTCATTTATTTCCCTTGATTCTGGAGACTGGATTTATACCTACACAATGGTCAGTGTCTGTCATTTCTGTTACCAAACAAGAACCTAATTCTTTCCATCCAGTATCAATGATTTCAGCCATGCTAATAATTTTTGAAACATGCCCGTATAGATCCAGGAATTATCCAATTACATCTCACTTATCTTTTTGTCAACATTCTGGTTTAGACAATTTCTCAACCACTAGTAACTTATTAGAAATTCAACACGTAATACAGTACTGAAAAACTTTGAATTAAAACTTCCAATGTATGTAGTTTATTTAGTATGTAGTATATTGATATTTCTAAAGCTTTTGACTCTATAGCACCTAATATTCTACTGGATAAACTATCAACCAAATTTAATATAAATGGCACTATTTTAACATGGCTAAATAATTATTCTTTACTTTGCACTTAACAAAAGTTATGTTTTTTAGCCTTCCCTCCCAGTAATAATTTTTCCTTAATAGTCAGTGCCTAGAAATAGTTAATAGTGTCTTCAATCTCAGTATCATATTTGATAAAAACTTTCTTTTAACCTACATATAGAAAACTAATCAAAAAGATATTCATCCATATGAAATGCTTTGGCAAAACTTTAAAAACATTTCAAATAAAAACACACTCCATGCTATTTTTTTCAATAACATCCAATCTTTAATTGATTATGCATTACCCTTATGGCTCATTATATCTTTATCCATATTTCTACATTCAATAGCAAATATATATCCTACTGCTGCCTGAAAGTAACAATTAGATCTTTATTCTACCACTATAAAAAAAAAACCACTGTCGAAATCAAAGACAAATTATTCCTTGACTTCTACAAATTCACAACCATTTGTAAAAAATACTTTACTCCAAACAATTTTTTTAATATTTGTTTTATTATTGTTTTGTTATTCTGGTATTGTTTCTTCACTTTGGTTTTACCGGGTATTGTTTTTTTTAACTAATTGGGATTGTTGTAACAGGGGTGGCATATATTGTCTCCAAGAGATTGCCAAATTTAATGTAAAAAATAAATAAATAAATAAATAAAAACTGTGATTAATGACGTCTAATGATTCTCGGCCAAAGCTGAGAATGATAAAATGGTTCTTTCTCTGAAAACCAAAAAAATATAAAAAAATAAAAATAAATCAGATTTTTCACCACTTATCAAAAGAAACTTTAATTTATACTATTTTCTTGTCATGTTTTTTATGTAAAATAAATTCTGAGGTCTTATGTGTGGAACTCAGATGAAATGATCCTGATGGATATCACCTCTATTAGAATCTGATTCTTTGCATCAACCACTATTCAATAATTGCATTTAAGAAAAATTATTATTTAGGCTATTTTAAAAGTTAACTTAGAAAATGTGTTATTATTGCTTTTAAGTTTTTTTTGTCTATTACAAATTTATATACTTTATGTTTTGATATTTATTCATGTAATTTTAATTGAGAACTTGTTTATTCAGCTATTCCATTATTAAACACATATTAACTAAATCAGATATTAACTCTTGTAGTTTGGACATTATATTTTTTTGTAAAGACAAAATGACTATACAACATGACATTTTCAAAATAAAGATTTATTCTATTTATGGAATTATAATTAATGGATACTGCTGGAACTATTGTCTTAAACTGTATGGAGTATTCTGATAGTAGTTTTCTTCTAAAAATCAATGAACTGAAAACATCAAGAATCTTTTATAATCTTTTATTTTGAAATTATTCACATATTATCAATACTTGGGATATGGATTTGATATACAAATTTTTTCTCTCATCACCTTCTTATAGCATGAATACTGTATTATTATTTACATACAAACTGTAAAGAGACATATTTAAAGAAAAAGGAAGATGGTTTGTAAAGAGAATATAATTTTAAGACTTCATTTAAGCAATAATAATAATGCAACTGAGTGACCACAATGTATTTTATAACTGAATTTTATATGGAATTTTAAAGTATTCACTTTATAATTCCTCATAAACAGAAGTATATATGATTAAAAATGAATTGTAAAGTATTTTTACAATTCATTTTCAATTATATACACTTCTAGAAGCATATGAATACTTATTTGACACAATAAAAATGCTTAAATTTTCTTTGATCTTGTTTTTTATTTTGTTATAAAATGTCTTCATTCTTTTTTACTTATCACTTATTAATTTTTTAAATAATTAATAAAATAATTTTAAAAATTGAAACATAATTCTGAATGTAAAATTTTTATAAAATTACATTTTAAAATCAAAATTTTTAAATGTTTACAAAAAGAATAGCAAAAAGAAATAGTTTTAATTTAATTTTTTTCACCTTAAAGTATTTTTCATAAGCATTAAATAATGTTATTTAAGTTTACCTTGCCTAATGCATTCTTCATTTAAATTATAGTAACCAAGACGACAAACACACAAATTATTATTACGAGAACACACTGCTTTATTGCTGACACCAAAACACTGTTCATCTTGCTCGCAAGAATCATACATTCTTGATGCTGTTATAAGAGAAAAAAATTATAAATATACTACATATCTTTTATATTTGAAAACTTTTTTATTTTATTGTAAAATAAAACAAAGAAGCAAATTTAATTTTCAATTAATTATTATTCACAATTAATATAATAGAAGAATATATAAAAAGTTTAATACAAATAGGAATAAATTCAAAATAAGGTGTTCAAAATTAAAGCAACAAACAAAAAAACCAGTGTAAAATCAGCAACATGAAATGCTAAAACTTAGGTAATATATAAATCAGCAAAGTGACATCCTATCATACATTTGTCATGCAAGTGACACACTAGCAATGAACCCGTGTGATAAAATGTGATGAACTATATATATACAGCAAAATTGTTTCTGACAATCAATATCTATCATCTGCTAGAACCACTAACAATGAAGAAGTATTCCAGATATACTAGTAGCTTATCAGGCATGTCTCAAAGAAGGCATTTGAATGATTCATTGCAATACAGGGCCATTCATTTATACATTTTTGCCATGTACAGTACATTTTTGTGTGTTGCTTTAATTTTGGACATACACATATTACAGTATATATTTATTCATACACAGATTTATGAAGATAAACTATAGTCCAAATTATATGTAGATCAAACAGCTGGAATTTATACTATTTTTAACCTATAATTTAATTCAACTACAAAAAACTCTATGTTAAAGATAAAAGCTACTATCAACTTATTATAAATTTAATAATTAGAATTAAGAGATATTTTAGAAATATCTGAAAAAATAAGCAACTCGGACCAGAACTTAAGCCTACAACATTGACAATCCAGAAAGATATCATCAGTTATGCTATATGGACTTGTGGTGAAGGTTCTTAGTAAATATTCAAGTTGCATGAACATACTAAAGGTGTCATAAGTATGCACAAACTTGTTCGTGAATGGAATTTCACTGAACAGGTTCATACTATATAAATTCTTGAACATGTTCATGATGTTCAAGAATTTATATAGCATGAACCAAATAATTCCAGATTAAGACCTCTGATTTTGTCTCCATATATACAAATATAACATGTAAAAGTGGACCAATTTCATTCATTTTTAAAGAAATCAAACAATTATTAGAGTACAAAAATTCATGGCCAAATGATCATCTTAAATACTCAGGCTATAAATCTACTAATTTCAATAATTAATACTAAGTAATTTGTCTGGAAAAGAACTGGCCCAGGGCAGAGGTTGTGGGTTGAAAAACAAATGTAGGCCAATGTTATTTAAAATTCACTTTCTTGAGAAAACTAACTTGACAACAGTCATGCATATCTTCATTATGGTAAGTCTGTGGCCAAGTGTTACTTGAAACAGATTGACTGTATAGTTCATGCAATTCAGAGAATCTATGAGAGAATTAGATATAAATTTTACCTCAAAAATGAATATTTGTGAGATCCCAGACAGAAATCAAATTTTATGTTAATGATCACAAGTATCTGGTGGGACAGTTAAACTCTCATATTTCAAAATTAAAATAAAGCAGAGTTAAAATCTTGCTAAAACAATAAAAGTTCTTTCCAACAAAAAGGAAAACAAAAGGTTGAAATTACAAGGGAGAATTTCAAAGTTCAGAGGAATTTTAGCCAATCTGGATCAGGTTAAGTGTCAATAATGACTTCTCCTGTGCTCTGAAAGGTTTTGAACTGTTACCAGGAGACGAAGGAAGACCAATAAGAATGCAGAACAAAGGAGAGAAACCCTTTAAAAACTCATGTTTCAAGGGCATGATGTTCATTGCTCCAAAAATTTGTTCTTCCTCCAAGATCTGCTGTTCACTCTCCAAGTTCTGTCATTTTATCTCCAAGATCCATTCATTCTCCACAAGTCTCTCTCCAAGATCTGTTATATCCGAGCTTAACAAAAGCTCCAGAACTATCACTCCTGCAGAAGACCATCAACAAGGGACTGAGTGTAGACATTTAGGCTTTTACTGGACTCTTCTTAAAAAGAAATATCAAAGGAGAATTGTAATGACAAGAATATAGAAAATTTTGTAAGAATATTTTTTATATTTTATTAAATGGGAAAAAGTGAATGGTAAGCCTGTCTCAGTGTGCAAATCACATCCACACATGACTGTCTTAACTGTGTACGGTGTGATTTACTCAACCGTCCCAACAATCACACACAATCAGCAAGCCTTACATATCTAACAAATTTCAAGATCTTAGTGAAGTGTTCTGCATGAATACAGATATATCAAAAATTAACCAATCTTTCATTGCCTCCAACACCAATAGTGACATGTTGGGGATCACAGACTTTCCACTGTGAAAACTTTTGATAAATTTTAACTTTTCTGAATGCTTTACATGAGGATTATAAAGCCATTTCAAATTAAAGAAACTACTAACTAGCATTGATCTCCAGTTCTCAGTTCATACTTACAAGTTCCTAGTGGAAGCTGTGACTAAACTTGAAGAGCAAGGTCTAAAAAAGGGAAAGCAATGGAATATTGTTAATGAAGTTTATGAACAACTTGAAAGGATTTGCTAAAGCTGCTGGCAAATTTGAGCAAAAATCCTGATCTTGAGGAAGTTGCTACATAAAGTGAGCTCCTATACAGACTACTCACCAAATTATCTCCTCTCATATCAATAGATGTAGAAAGATACTTTTCATTATGTAAGATTTTTGGAAGAGAAGAAAATGCATTTTATTATGCAATCAATTAAGAAATAATTTCATTCACTACAAGTTTCTCACATAGGTTTAGCAATGTGCTAAAAATAATGGCTGAAAAATGTTCAGCCATTATTTTTAGCACATTGCTAAAATAATGACTTGCATTTCACTTATGTTCAATTTAAATCTCATAATACTATACAATATCAATAAAAATCTCATACTATACAAATTTCCGCATTATTTAAACAATGGTTAAATAATTAAATAAACATGCACCTTTTCTATCTTTTTTAGCACCTTCTTTCTATTTTTTGTTTTTAGCAATTTTTTACACCCAAAATTCCTCTCCTTACTAATTAGTTTGTCAAGGACATTAACAGTCTCACTTTAATATAGGATTTTATTAAGATAATCTTTTATTTCTGTTAATATCAGAAAATTTATTTAAAATAAATAAACAAAGCTAAGTTTAATGTATATAATGTGAAGTCATAATGTAGTAAAAAATGGAGAATCATTAAATTCTTTGAATATGTAAGTTGAGAGTAATGGTGGTGTGTTTGCAACACTATAAGAGTTATTATAGGTCTAAACATTACTTTTATCTGGTACTTTTGAAACCGTGCTTGTAGTTATTAGTAGTAATTCAAACACAAATAATTATCGTATTTATCTTCAGGCACTTGGCAATACTTATCATCAAGTTTTATTCAGTTGAACTGAATAAAACTTGATGATAAGTATTGCCAAGTGCCTGAAGATAAATACGATAATTATTTGTGTTTGAATTACTACTAATAACTACAAGCACGGTTTCAAAAGTACCAGATAAAAGTAATGTTTAGACCTATAATAACTCTTATAGTGTTGCAAACACACCACCATTACTCTCAACTTACATATTCAAAGAATTTAATGATTCTCCATTTTTTACTACATTATGACTTCACATTATATACATTAAACTTAGCTTTGTTTATTTATTTTAAATAAATTTTCTGATATTAACAGAAATAAAAGATTATCTTAATAAAATCCTATATTAAAGTGAGACTGTTAATGTCCTTGACAAACTAATTAGTAAGGAGAGGAATTTTGGGTGTAAAAAATTGCTAAAAACAAAAAATAGAAAGAAGGTGCTAAAAAAGATAGAAAAGGTGCATGTTTATTTAATTATTTAACCATTGTTTAAATAATGCGGAAATTTGTATAGTATGAGATTTTTATTGATATTGTATAGTATTATGAGATTTAAATTGAACATAAGTGAAATGCAAGTCATTATTTTAGCAATGTGCTAAAAATAATGGCTGAACATTTTTCAGCCATTATTTTTAGCACATTGCTAAACCTATGTGAGAAACTTGTAGTGAATGAAATTATTTCTTAATTGATTGCATAATAAAATGCATTTTCTTCTCTTCCAAAAATCTTACATAATGAAAAGTATCTTTCTACATCTATTGATATGAGAGGAGATAATTTGGTGAGTAGTCTGTATAGGAGCTCACTTTATGTAGCAACTTCCTCAAGATCAGGATTTTTGCTCAAATTTGCCAGCAGCTTTAGCAAATCCTTTCAAGTTGTTCATAAACTTCATTAACAATATTCCATTGCTTTCCCTTTTTTAGACCTTGCTCTTCAAGTTTAGTCACAGCTTCCACTAGGAACTTGTAAGTATGAACTGAGAACTGGAGATCAATGCTAGTTAGTAGTTTCTTTAATTTGAAATGGCTTTATAATCCTCATGTAAAGCATTCAGAAAAGTTAAAATTTATCAAAAGTTTTCACAGTGGAAAGTCTGTGATCCCCAACATGTCACTATTGGTGTTGGAGGCAATGAAAGATTGGTTAATTTTTGATATATCTGTATTCATGCAGAACACTTCACTAAGATCTTGAAATTTGTTAGATATGTAAGGCTTGCTGATTGTGTGTGATTGTTGGGACGGTTGAGTAAATCACACCGTACACAGTTAAGACAGTCATGTGTGGATGTGATTTGCACACTGAGACAGGCTTACCATTCACTTTTTCCCATTTAATAAAATATAAAAAATATTCTTACAAAATTTTCTATATTCTTGTCATTACAATTCTCCTTTGATATTTCTTTTTAAGAAGAGTCCAGTAAAAGCCTAAATGTCTACACTCAGTCCCTTGTTGATGGTCTTCTGCAGGAGTGATAGTTCTGGAGCTTTTGTTAAGCTCGGATATAACAGATCTTGGAGAGAGACTTGTGGAGAATGAATGGATCTTGGAGATAAAATGACAGAACTTGGAGAGTGAACAGCAGATCTTGGAGGAAGAACAAATTTTTGGAGCAATGAACATCATGCCCTTGAAACATGAGTTTTTAAAGGGTTTCTCTCCTTTGTTCTGCATTCTTATTGGTCTTCCTTCGTCTCCTGGTAACAGTTCAAAACCTTTCAGAGCACAGGAGAAGTCATTATTGACACTTAACCTGATCCAGATTGGCTAAAATTCCTCTGAACTTTGAAATTCTCCCTTGTAATTTCAACCTTTTGTTTTCCTTTTTGTTGGAAAGAACTTTTATTGTTTTAGCAAGATTTTAACTCTGCTTTATTTTAATTTTGAAATATGAGAGTTTAACTGTCCCACCAGATACTTGTGATCATTAACATAAAATTTGATTTCTGTCTGGGATCTCACAAATATTCATTTTTGAGGTAAAATTTATATCTAATTCTCTCATAGATTCTCTGAATTGCATGAACTATACAGTCAATCTGTTTCAAGTAACACTTGGCCACAGACTTACCATAATGAAGATATGCATGACTGTTGTCAAGTTAGTTTTCTCAAGAAAGTGAATTTTAAATAACATTGGCCTACATTTGTTTTTCAACCCACAACCTCTGCCCTGGGCCAGTTCTTTTCCAGACAAATTACTTAGTATTAATTATTGAAATTAGTAGATTTATAGCCTGAGTATTTAAGATGATCATTTGGCCATGAATTTTTGTACTCTAATAATTGTTTGATTTCTTTAAAAATGAATGAAATTGGTCCACTTTTACATGTTATATTTGTATATANACTGTTTTGGATAATCGATGCTCTACTGTATTTAGTAAAAAAGGCCAGTCTTGTATTAGTTGTAAATGTCTGTGTCTTTGTATTCAAGCCATTTCAACTGATATTTGCAGGTAATATTCATTCACAATGTTATACTACGTTTGCACACAATCCACGACTCACTTCAATCTCGATTTACCTACAATCTGGATTTGTGACTGTCGCTAGTCGAACGTCGTGCTGTTCGCACAGGCAGTCCGCTCGAGAAGAACCTGGCTATTACACACAATCATAAAAATGATGTAACTACGCGGTAAGTCACAAACACCAACAAACAAAATGGAAGTTTTGGTTAGAAATAAATACTTTTTCTTGCCATACATCTAATAATAGACAGATGTCGTCGTCTCTCCAGATGTCTTTTTTATTTCTCTGTCGATAGCCCGACACGTGTTCTGCAGCCATCCTGTACTTTCTCGCACACGTGTGATTGTGGGATCTCTCTTATGACTGGATCTAGTTTCAAGAACTCTCTCCAGTTGATCGTGATTGAACCTCGTTTCAGTCGAGATTGAAACAGTCGAGAGCGTTCGCACCACGCAACAGGTTCCGACCTTAGTCACAATCTAGATCGAAATGCTCGGTGCAAACGGGGTATTAGGACCAACATTAGCTTCCTTACTACTAACAACCTTAAAAACAACATAACACTTTAAACTGGTCTAGCCAGAAAGAATTTGCAATAAAGTAAATCACCACAAAGTTGTTTATTGTTGAATACCTGCCTTTGCTTTGATTAACAATAATGGACCAGTGATTAGCAACTTTTTAGAATGCACTATTTTGAATCAGATTGAGAGTTGCTTTTCTAGATCAATGTTTTAGCAAAATGCATTTCCTTACTTGTTTACATTCTACTTGTGTCATAATGCTTGATGGTGTCATCTTGTTTTTTTACAATGTTTTACATTGTGCTTTTGCAACATCCCATTCTTTAATAGCTAAAGCATATAATTTCTTGTACTCCATTACAACAAAAATTGTAGCAATTTTTTCAAGCAATATAGCTTTTCATTTGCTCATTTTTTCCTAATAAAATGAGCAATTATTTATTGTGACATTGTCACAATGTTGGGCTGCAATTTTTCATCACAATTCTCTCAAATTTAGTAGTGTCTTGCCCCTGTACATCATACTTTCCTATTAACAATGAAGTCATGCTGGTCATTTATCTATGTTCAAGAGAAAATTTTTCAATTGAAATAATGTGACTTCTGGTTTAAACCAGAAGTTCAAATATGGTTAATTGGGCCTCCTGCTCCTAAGCTTTCTGTAACTGGTTTCAACTTTCATCTATCTAACTCCACTCTCAAGATTAAGGAAAGACAGACAGATGTTAGCAGGAAGTTATAGGTTTACAATTTTTGAAAATTGCAGCCCAATTAATGCTTTTTGGGGAAAGAAAAGTTGTTTGAAAACATAGACATCAGCTGTAAAAATATTGAACCCATTTTACTTTGTAGCCTACATAGCAGTATAACAAAAAAAAGAAAGCATTACAAAAGGATAACAGCAAATTTTCAAATTTTCGCCAAAAAATACTTCTTCCTTTTTTGTTGTAACTTGGTGCTCCATCTTACTCTGTTAGAACTGAAGAGTTAAGTAATGCATTGTCCTTCTATAATGTTGTATTTTTCTGGGCAGCCTCAAAGTTGAGAAATGTTAGCTATATATACACACATGCACACACACACACACACTGTGTGTGTTTACAAGTTCAAACAAAATGCAATTTTTTAAATTTATTAATATTTTATGATGTAATTTAAAGAAAAAAGGTACTGAACATTCATGTTATAATTGCTGCAATTATTAATTATTATTCAGATATATAACTGGTGTGACAAACAATTCTAAAGTATACAAAAAAAAAAAAAAATTTCAGATTTATGAACAATAATACATCTGAAATATTTATAAAAAATAAAATAGATTCATAAAATAAATAGTACTGTAACTGTACATCAATATTTTAAATGACATACCTATTTCATAACACTTTCCAAGAATCCAATGGGATTTCCAATGCAGTCTAAATTGATATAAATTTACATATATGTTTTTGTTATCACAGTCACATTTATTATTGATGCATCTCATTTTAGTTTCATTTCTTAAGCAATCAAAATCATCTTCACAAAACATTCCTTTAGTCACTAATAAAAAATATTACATTATTATTAATTATGAAAGTTTATTAAAAATTCATATAGGTTAATTATCAATAATTAATACAGTATTTTAGGACAACAATAGGAATAAAATACAGTACTTTTATTCCTATCATTGTCTTTCAAACTACCAGTGTAAGTGAAACAATAACTTCATCAAGATCTAAATAAACAAAACAGGTGGACAGATCAATTATCATTTGTTTCCTTTGATATTAAGGTTGATATTAAAGGTTGTTTATTGGTTTTAAGTACTGTCTCCTCATTTATAAGTTTCTGTGAATTTGAAATTTCATACTTTTATGTAAATTGATTGTATTCTGTCAATTCACATAAAAGTGTGAAATTTCAAATTCACTGTGTAATGAGTAAGGAAAATATTTTATTTCTGAATGGAAAGTTCTAAAATTTTTATACAGTAATAACTCTATTTTGCTTTTTAGAGAATTTTTACTCTAATTTTGTAAGTTTTGGTGTTTTATTATATGTTCAATATTTATTTTTTAAATTTTCAATTACTGTATTTATAATTTTTATTGAAAAATATAAATTACACAAATTTTTAATAAGTGATTTATTATGAAATATAGTACTGTATAATAAAATTGCAACTGTTATTTTGTTTATATATTGACAGTATTTGTCTTTAAATGTCATTGTTAAAGAAACAATAATGTTAAATGGGCGTTCATGGTATCAATGTTTATGTAAACCTCAATTAATACGATATAACCACAAATAAAATTCAGTATTGCAAAACTAAGTTTATTTTATATCAGAAACACTTGCTGATGAAAGAATAGAGGATAGAGATTCCATAGCATGTATAATTTGTTTAGTAAAGGCCTAGAATTTTTAGTACTCAATTATATCATGCTTTTTCTTTGTCTTCAAACAAGTGTGATATAATGAGGGGCTACTGTATTAACAAAAACATCATTCTGTATAAATAGCCATATTCTATTTACTTAATAAATTACATCAGTTAACCTTCATTTGGCATATTATACAGAAATATGTAAATCTCGGATAATTTTAAGTTGCGATTATTTCATCCCTTGAATTTCAAGCTAACAAGGATATCCTGTATAAGTTTTAATTATAAGTATTAAAAAAATTTTCAAGTATTAGAATATTAAATGTTGGCAATTAAGATTCATTATAATAATTTTATGAACATTACAAAAAAATCACAACAGAATTACTTTATTTCATTTTCNTTATTAGTAGTAATTCAAACACAAATAATTATCGTATTTATCTTCAGGCACTTGGCAATACTTATCATCAAGTTTTATTCAGTTGAACTGAATAAAACTTGATGATAAGTATTGCCAAGTGCCTGAAGATAAATACGATAATTATTTGTGTTTGAATTACTACTATTACTTTTATCAATGAAAATACTAAGTTTTAAAATAAAATACAAAAGAATATTTTAAATGCTATGTTAAACTAAGAGTCTATCATGTAAAATAAATTTTTTCTGCATTTTCTAATATTAAACCAAAATTGAGTACTGTGTAAATTGTAGGTTGGCATAACACAAAAACATTTATTAAAAATATTCAGTAAATACTTCACATGTCAGATGCACAGATTCTTTTAAACAAATGATAACATGTTCATTTAAAGACTTTTGCAATATAAGTGCTTTATACATTACTAAAATTACTGTTGTTACTTTAATTATAATTCTGTACTTTGCTATCAATTTAAAAATTACTATTGTTTTTTCATTACAATTTTTTTTTCTTAAAGAAGAAATAATAAACATTATCATTATTTTACCTTTTCTGTAACATTTCCCTCTTTCCTGTTCAGTTGGCTTTATATATTTATAATTTATACTACAATCACACAAGCCATGACGACAAATCATGTTTCTGTCAGTTGCTTGACACTCTTCATTAGTCTCACACTTATCATGGTAAGATGCTATTGAAATGATTGAAATTCATTAAAACAATATTGACACAAATCCAATTAATTAAAATTAACTAATTTTTAATAAGTTATTGATAGTTTTAATATCCAAAACATAAAAAATATAATTGATTTCAAACAAATACCTTAGTAATAGATAGGGCCAGTAATATTTTTTATAACAAAAAAATAATAACTAGTTACTAGTAACCTGTAGATAAACAATGATTAATTAATGAGAAATTAAGAAATTAACAGTAGAAATAACAGCTGATTCACATTAGAACAGTTTAACTTTAAAAATATAAAATATGTTACTAATTCTGTATTCTGTATCTGTAAGATACAATACTGAAATATTAAATAAAATATATAAATTTATTTTAATTACTTATAAATGAATTAATAAGAAAGTATTACATAAAAACACTTCAAAATTTTCAAAATCCAAAAATAACACAGTAAAAAATATTGAAGTTTTCTTAAATAATGTTAATAATTATTGTTTTAAATACAATTATAAAAAGCAGAATTATTCCAATAAAGATCTTATGTCTGAGATAGTAAAGAAATTAATCTAATATTCTGAGAAACTTAAATATGTTAACATTTTCTCTCATCATTAAGATGCTCTATTATGAGTCCAATGAATAGTCACAAAAACAATCCTCTTGATGCCAAAGACAAGGTCTGTACTAAAGAACTACTTATATACATAAATAGGTATATATTATATACATATATAGGTGTATGAAGTATTGATATAACATACTCCCTGCAAATATCAAAAACTCACATGTTATAAGTGAGATATATGATTTTAAAATCATATGTTAATTAACATATGACTTCATGTCATATGTTAATAGTGGGATCTTAATAGAATATCAATACAAAAACTTCATAGAATATATGAAAAACTTTGAGCTGCAATTTGAAAAAACTGTAGGCCTATAAATTCCCACTGTCGTCCATCTGTCTGTCTTTCCTTAACACATTGACTACTACTTCATTTTCAATGAAACTTCCCAAAATGCCACAGTTTCATTTTTGCATAAATATATTTTCCTTGTGGATAGAACTCATTTTTATTTTTTTTCACTATTTTTATATTTCATAATTTTTAATGTATAATAATAAATAAATATATAAATAAAATTTTAATTTTTGTCCATTTGGCAATTTTTTTCAATTGAGTTTGCCGTTTTCATTACCATAGAATAGTTACTTTTGACAATAAAGAGATATAATTGTAATAAATTACAAAGTGAATACAATATTAATGGCTTGCTATTTGAGTAAGATTATTCAAATTTTGACAATCCAAAATTTTTGCTTGATAATGAAGATATTTCAGATTGAAAATCAAGAAATTAGTAATTCTAGCATGTTAGAAAATAAACTTGTTGATATGCCTATTTGTGAAGATGAAGATGGGTTGTTGATGATGAAGAAGGAAATGTAATAACTACTGAGGGAGAAATTCAATGGAAAGCTTTTTCTGGAAAGCAGTTCTCTTTTCAGTTTACAGGAAAATCTGGAATTCAAGTAGAAATTGATCTGAATGCCTCTCTGATGAAGATTTATTCATTATTTTTGGATAATGAAATAATCGAAGCAAATAGATATGCAGATAAATATATTAGTAATATTCAAATGAAACCAAAATCAAGATATCTTAAATGGAAAATCTGTTTTTGTTAGTGAAATAAGGAAATTTCTTGGACTTTTATTGTAGATGGATCTTAATAAAAGAGGTTCAATTTCATCACACTGGTCAATGAACTGTGTATTTCTTCTGATATTGTAATTGTACTTTTGGTTAATTGCTTATCTGTATTTGTGTAATTATTTAATAAAAAAAGTAAATTTATTGCTATTATCATCTTTGTTTCACATTATTTTTTTAATATGCAAAATGTAATTATTATTTCATGCCACAAAAACATTATTTCAACTTAAACACAGGCACCACATAATTTAAAACCCATAGAATAATAGATTACATGTATTGTAGATGCATTATATAATGTGATTTAAGGAAACTTCTGTGTATTACACCTATGTTACAAATAGTCCCTTCAGAAGTGTTACTGTATGACACATATATAATATGTGGCAGTCAATGTGTTAATTAAGGTCTGAGTTACAACTGAATATAACTGCATTTGGACAATCTGTCAACAAGGAAAACTTTTCAATTTTAGCATCAAAGGTCTTGGTTCTATTTTGTTTATCAATCTTCATAAATTTTCCTCTCATTCAAGCCTTTGAGTTTGAATAGTAAGTCACAGGAAATGATTTAATGTCATTAAAATGTCTCTTTTCTAGTAACAAGAGAAAATATTTTTTTATCAGTTCCATCTAATTATGTCATAGCAAGATTGTGTTTTGCATTCTCTTTGCTCATATTATGTACAGAACACATTTTACTTTTGAATATAAGTGTGATCAGAAGTACAGTAGAGCATCAATTATTCAAATACTGATCAACCGAAACATCAGTTAATTGAAAGCGTTCCATAAGGCAAATTCAAATTTCCGCTAGTGCTGTGGTGCTGTAATATTTGGCTATGACTTGGGCTACTCCAATATTATTTTTTGTTGTTGTGCATGTTTTAGCTGGCAGCACTGACACGACCATATTGTATCATTAAAAATTATTTCTTTATTTTGCACAAACAAAATAAATATATTGAAAAATATAAAAACAAAAGAAAAAAAAATTATATTTCAGAAGTTAATCTAATATCAAAAATATTCCAATTCAGCAGGACACACGTCGAGAGGGCACTTAAGGACACGCCAGTATTTGAAGGAGGCTTTTTTCCTCCCATTGTGAGTGGTGTGTTTTGCTTCAGCTTGTCAGAGAATATAGCCTAAGCAGTTGATATTTTCAGATAAAACCAAGAACAAGAAAGAGCTTTTCTTGTTTTGTATGGTGTTTTTCTGAGGACTGTGCATTGTGCTGAATTGGAACATTTTTGATACTAGAACTTCCAAAATATAATTTTTTTTTGTTTTTATATTTTTTTAATATATTTATTTTGTTTGTGCAAAATAAAGAAATAATTTTTAATAATACAATAGCCACAATTATTATTTTAAAAAAATTTTCGTTAGGCTTAACATTGACGAAAATTCAACAGAGAAAAATTTCAACATGAGATAGGTTAATATATTTTTTCATACATGATCAGTTATTCAAACAACCACAGTCCCGAACTGTTTTGGATAATCGATGCTCTACTGTATTTAGTAAAAAAGGCCAGTCTTGTATTAGTTGTAAATGTCTGTGTCTTTGTATTCAAGCCATTTCAACTGATATTTGCAGGTAATATTCATTCACAATGTTATACTACGTTTGCACACAATCCACGACTCACTTCAATCTCGATTTACCTACAATCTGGATTTGTGACTGTCGCTAGTCGAACGTCGTGCTGTTCGCACAGGCAGTCCGCTCGAGAAGAACCTGGCTATTACACACAATCATAAAAATGATGTAACTACGCGGTAAGTCACAAACACCAACAAACAAAATGGAAGTTTTGGTTAGAAATAAATACTTTTTCTTGCCATACATCTAATAATAGACAGATGTCGTCGTCTCTCCAGATGTCTTTTTTATTTCTCTGTCGATAGCCCGACACGTGTTCTGCAGCCATCCTGTACTTTCTCGCACACGTGTGATTGTGGGATCTCTCTTATGACTGGATCTAGTTTCAAGAACTCTCTCCAGTCGATCGCGATAGAACCTCGTTTCAGTCGAGATTGAAACAGTCGAGAGCGTTCGCACCACGCAACAGGTTCCGACCTTAGTCACAATCTAGATCGAAATGCTCGGTGCAAACGGGGTATTAGGACCAACATTAGCTTCCTTACTACTAACAACCTTAAAAACAACATAACACTTTAAACTGGTCTAGCCAGAAAGAATTTGCAATAAAGTAAATCACCACAAAGTTGTTTATTGTTGAATACCTGCCTTTGCTTTGATTAACAATAATGGACCAGTGATTAGCAACTTTTTAGAATGCACTATTTTGAATCAGATTGAGAGTTGCTTTTCTAGATCAATGTTTTAGCAAAATGCATTTCCTTACTTGTTTACATTCTACTTGTGTCATAATGCTTGATGGTGTCATCTTGTTTTTTTACAATGTTTTACATTGTGCTTTTGCAACATCCCATTCTTTAATAGCTAAAGCATATAATTTCTTGTACTCCATTACAACAAAAATTGTAGCAATTTTTTCAAGCAATATAGCTTTTCATTTGCTCATTTTTTCCTAATAAAATGAGCAATTATTTATTGTGACATTGTCACAATGTTGGGCTGCAATTTTTCATCACAATTCTCTCAAATTTAGTAGTGTCTTGCCCCTGTACATCATACTTTCCTATTAACAATGAAGTCATGCTGGTCATTTATCTATGTTCAAGAGAAAATTTTTCAATTGAAATAATGTGACTTCTGGTTTAAACCAGAAGTTCAAATATGGTTAATTGGGCCTCCTGCTCCTAAGCTTTCTGTAACTGGTTTCAACTTTCATCTATCTAACTCCACTCTCAAGATTAAGGAAAGACAGACAGATGTTAGCAGGAAGTTATAGGTTTACAATTTTTGAAAATTGCAGCCCAATTAATGCTTTTTGGGGAAAGAAAAGTTGTTTGAAAACATAGACATCAGCTGTAAAAATATTGAACCCATTTTACTTTGTAGCCTACATAGCAGTATAACAAAAAAAAGAAAGCATTACAAAAGGATAACAGCAAATTTTCAAATTTTCGCCAAAAAATACTTCTTCCTTTTTTGTTGTAACTTGGTGCTCCATCTTACTCTGTTAGAACTGAAGAGTTAAGTAATGCATTGTCCTTCTATAATGTTGTATTTTTCTGGGCAGCCTCAAAGTTGAGAAATGTTAGCTATATATACACACATGCACACACACACACACACTGTGTGTGTTTACAAGTTCAAACAAAATGCAATTTTTTAAATTTATTAATATTTTTTGTTGTGCATGTTTTAGCTGGCAGCACTGACACGACCATATTGTATCATTAAAAATTATTTTCATACATTCTTGATGCTGTTATAAGAGAAAAAAATTATAAATATACTACATATCTTTTATATTTGAAAACTTTTTTATTTTATTGTAAAATAAAACAAAGAAGCAAATTTAATTTTCAATTAATTATTATTCACAATTAATATAATAGAAGAATATATAAAAAGTTTAATACAAATAGGAATAAATTCAAAATAAGGTGTTCAAAATTAAAGCAACAAACAAAAAAACCAGTGTAAAATCAGCAACATGAAATGCTAAAACTTAGGTAATATATAAATCAGCAAAGTGACATCCTATCATACATTTGTCATGCAAGTGACACACTAGCAATGAACCCGTGTGATAAAATGTGATGAACTATATATATACAGCAAAATTGTTTCTGACAATCAATATCTATCATCTGCTAGAACCACTAACAATGAAGAAGTATTCCAGATATACTAGTAGCTTATCAGGCATGTCTCAAAGAAGGCATTTGAATGATTCATTGCAATACAGGGCCATTCATTTATACATTTTTGCCATGTACAGTACATTTTTGTGTGTTGCTTTAATTTTGGACATACACATATTACAGTATATATTTATTCATACACAGATTTATGAAGATAAACTATAGTCCAAATTATATGTAGATCAAACAGCTGGAATTTATACTATTTTTAACCTATAATTTAATTCAACTACAAAAAACTCTATGTTAAAGATAAAAGCTACTATCAACTTATTATAAATTTAATAATTAGAATTAAGAGATATTTTAGAAATATCTGAAAAAATAAGCAACTCGGACCAGAACTTAAGCCTACAACATTGACAATCCAGAAAGATATCATCAGTTATGCTATATGGACTTGTGGTGAAGGTTCTTAGTAAATATTCAAGTTGCATGAACATACTAAAGGTGTCATAAGTATGCACAAACTTGTTCGTGAATGGAATTTCACTGAACAGGTTCATACTATATAAATTCTTGAACATGTTCATGATGTTCAAGAATTTATATAGCATGAACCAAATAATTCCAGATTAAGACCTCTGATTTTGTCTCCATATATACAAATATAACATGTAAAAGTGGACCAATTTCATTCATTTTTAAAGAAATCAAACAATTATTAGAGTACAAAAATTCATGGCCAAATGATCATCTTAAATACTCAGGCTATAAATCTACTAATTTCAATAATTAATACTAAGTAATTTGTCTGGAAAAGAACTGGCCCAGGGCAGAGGTTGTGGGTTGAAAAACAAATGTAGGCCAATGTTATTTAAAATTCACTTTCTTGAGAAAACTAACTTGACAACAGTCATGCATATCTTCATTATGGTAAGTCTGTGGCCAAGTGTTACTTGAAACAGATTGACTGTATAGTTCATGCAATTCAGAGAATCTATGAGAGAATTAGATATAAATTTTACCTCAAAAATGAATATTTGTGAGATCCCAGACAGAAATCAAATTTTATGTTAATGATCACAAGTATCTGGTGGGACAGTTAAACTCTCATATTTCAAAATTAAAATAAAGCAGAGTTAAAATCTTGCTAAAACAATAAAAGTTCTTTCCAACAAAAAGGAAAACAAAAGGTTGAAATTACAAGGGAGAATTTCAAAGTTCAGAGGAATTTTAGCCAATCTGGATCAGGTTAAGTGTCAATAATGACTTCTCCTGTGCTCTGAAAGGTTTTGAACTGTTACCAGGAGACGAAGGAAGACCAATAAGAATGCAGAACAAAGGAGAGAAACCCTTTAAAAACTCATGTTTCAAGGGCATGATGTTCATTGCTCCAAAAATTTGTTCTTCCTCCAAGATCTGCTGTTCACTCTCCAAGTTCTGTCATTTTATCTCCAAGATCCATTCATTCTCCACAAGTCTCTCTCCAAGATCTGTTATATCCGAGCTTAACAAAAGCTCCAGAACTATCACTCCTGCAGAAGACCATCAACAAGGGACTGAGTGTAGACATTTAGGCTTTTACTGGACTCTTCTTAAAAAGAAATATCAAAGGAGAATTGTAATGACAAGAATATAGAANTAATTTTGTAAGTTTTGGTGTTTTATTATATGTTCAATATTTATTTTTTAAATTTTCAATTACTGTATTTATAATTTTTATTGAAAAATATAAATTACACAAATTTTTAATAAGTGATTTATTATGAAATATAGTACTGTATAATAAAATTGCAACTGTTATTTTGTTTATATATTGACAGTATTTGTCTTTAAATGTCATTGTTAAAGAAACAATAATGTTAAATGGGCGTTCATGGTATCAATGTTTATGTAAACCTCAATTAATACGATATAACCACAAATAAAATTCAGTATTGCAAAACTAAGTTTATTTTATATCAGAAACACTTGCTGATGAAAGAATAGAGGATAGAGATTCCATAGCATGTATAATTTGTTTAGTAAAGGCCTAGAATTTTTAGTACTCAATTATATCATGCTTTTTCTTTGTCTTCAAACAAGTGTGATATAATGAGGGGCTACTGTATTAACAAAAACATCATTCTGTATAAATAGCCATATTCTATTTACTTAATAAATTACATCAGTTAACCTTCATTTGGCATATTATACAGAAATATGTAAATCTCGGATAATTTTAAGTTGCGATTATTTCATCCCTTGAATNCTAAACTTGAAGAGCAAGGTCTAAAAAAGGGAAAGCAATGGAATATTGTTAATGAAGTTTATGAACAACTTGAAAGGATTTGCTAAAGCTGCTGGCAAATTTGAGCAAAAATCCTGATCTTGAGGAAGTTGCTACATAAAGTGAGCTCCTATACAGACTACTCACCAAATTATCTCCTCTCATATCAATAGATGTAGAAAGATACTTTTCATTATGTAAGATTTTTGGAAGAGAAGAAAATGCATTTTATTATGCAATCAATTAAGAAATAATTTCATTCACTACAAGTTTCTCACATAGGTTTAGCAATGTGCTAAAAATAATGGCTGAAAAATGTTCAGCCATTATTTTTAGCACATTGCTAAAATAATGACTTGCATTTCACTTATGTTCAATTTAAATCTCATAATACTATACAATATCAATAAAAATCTCATACTATACAAATTTCCGCATTATTTAAACAATGGTTAAATAATTAAATAAACATGCACCTTTTCTATCTTTTTTAGCACCTTCTTTCTATTTTTTGTTTTTAGCAATTTTTTACACCCAAAATTCCTCTCCTTACTAATTAGTTTGTCAAGGACATTAACAGTCTCACTTTAATATAGGATTTTATTAAGATAATCTTTTATTTCTGTTAATATCAGAAAATTTATTTAAAATAAATAAACAAAGCTAAGTTTAATGTATATAATGTGAAGTCATAATGTAGTAAAAAATGGAGAATCATTAAATTCTTTGAATTTTTCTAAAGTTCAAAATGACATTAAAAAATCATATTATTAAATATTACAATTTTTAATCTGGCAATGTTTAAAGATTAATCTTAATAATAAATTTCTTTAATTATTTGATCATAATATCTATATTGTAATTTTTAAACAATGGAACTCAATTATCGAAACAATGATTAACCAAATGTCCAATTATCTGAATCACTACTTATCCATCCTTTCTCTCTCCCACTGATGTCACACTGCAATTCTCCTGTCATGTGACACCTATTTGCTGTGACAGATCCACGGGATCAATAGTATGCTACTTGCATATTGATGAATAAATAAATATAGTACAGTACATGTACGAGGGCAGGCTGAAAAGTAATGCACATATGCTTGTAGAACACAAACAAAAACAAATAGCAAGATTGGGCAAAAATTGCATTAAAGTATAATTCTTAAGCTTCAAAATCATATATTTATTTTTCAACATAGTCACCGTTAAGGCTAACAAATTTCTCCCAACGTGTAACAAGTTTTTTCAGTCCGTCACTGAAAAATTCTCCTGACTTTTCTCGAATCAAGGACTTGACAGCTGCCTTCACCTCATCGTCTGAGGTGTAATGATTTACCTCTTAAGTAGAGGAAACAAATAAAAATCACAAGGCACAAGATCGGGGGAATAAGGAGGGTGTAGAATCGGTTCAAACTTCAGGTTTCGCAGAGCCTCTCCAGTTGCGTGCGAGGTGTGTGGACGAGCGTTGTCATGTTGCAAGATTATTGGTGCCAGGCTGCCTCTAACATATCAAACTCAACATCAGAGGTGTTTTAGAGTCTGTATGTACTGAAAAGAATTAAACATTGCAACAAGGTGCAACGGTAATTATCTGTGGCAGTGATCAGACTTCCGCTGTGTGTTTCATCAACAATTATGGCTTTTCCAGGCTCGCAACCACGAAATTTTATTATCCATCAATTTACAATAGACCTATCAATAGCATCGCCAGCGTAAACAGCCTTTAAATGTAATTTTTTCAGCAGTTAAAAATTCTATGACAGCACGCTGTTTAACTCGCGTTGACATAGCACCAGAACATGTCTCCATATTTCCGCTTCTCAAAATGTACTGAATGAACGCAACAACCTTAAACTGTGCATGCACATAGGGGGGGAATGTTACTTCCATATGCCACCTGGCATGCTTCTGAAAATCATTTCGTTTGTGCTCTACAAGCATGTGTGCATTACTTTTCAGCCTGCCCTTGTACAATATGATGCTGTTTCCCTATAANAAATTAACCAATCTTTCATTGCCTCCAACACCAATAGTGACATGTTGGGGATCACAGACTTTCCACTGTGAAAACTTTTGATAAATTTTAACTTTTCTGAATGCTTTACATGAGGATTATAAAGCCATTTCAAATTAAAGAAACTACTAACTAGCATTGATCTCCAGTTCTCAGTTCATACTTACAAGTTCCTAGTGGAAGCTGTGACTAAACTTGAAGAGCAAGGTCTAAAAAAGGGAAAGCAATGGAATATTGTTAATGAAGTTTATGAACAACTTGAAAGGATTTGCTAAAGCTGCTGGCAAATTTGAGCAAAAATCCTGATCTTGAGGAAGTTGCTACATAAAGTGAGCTCCTATACAGACTACTCACCAAATTATCTCCTCTCATATCAATAGATGTAGAAAGATACTTTTCATTATGTAAGATTTTTGGAAGAGAAGAAAATGCATTTTATTATGCAATCAATTAAGAAATAATTTCATTCACTACAAGTTTCTCACATAGGTTTAGCAATGTGCTAAAAATAATGGCTGAAAAATGTTCAGCCATTATTTTTAGCACATTGCTAAAATAATGACTTGCATTTCACTTATGTTCAATTTAAATCTCATAATACTATACAATATCAATAAAAATCTCATACTATACAAATTTCCGCATTATTTAAACAATGGTTAAATAATTAAATAAACATGCACCTTTTCTATCTTTTTTAGCACCTTCTTTCTATTTTTTGTTTTTAGCAATTTTTTACACCCAAAATTCCTCTCCTTACTAATTAGTTTGTCAAGGACATTAACAGTCTCACTTTAATATAGGATTTTATTAAGATAATCTTTTATTTCTGTTAATATCAGAAAATTTATTTAAAATAAATAAACAAAGCTAAGTTTAATGTATATAATGTGAAGTCATAATGTAGTAAAAAATGGAGAATCATTAAATTCTTTGAATATGTAAGTTGAGAGTAATGGTGGTGTGTTTGCAACACTATAAGAGTTATTATAGGTCTAAACATTACTTTTATCAATGAAAATACTAAGTTTTAAAATAAAATACAAAAGAATATTTTAAATGCTATGTTAAACTAAGAGTCTATCATGTAAAATAAATTTTTTCTGCATTTTCTAATATTAAACCAAAATTGAGTACTGTGTAAATTGTAGGTTGGCATAACACAAAAACATTTATTAAAAATATTCAGTAAATACTTCACATGTCAGATGCACAGATTCTTTTAAACAAATGATAACATGTTCATTTAAAGACTTTTGCAATATAAGTGCTTTATACATTACTAAAATTACTGTTGTTACTTTAATTATAATTCTGTACTTTGCTATCAATTTAAAAATTACTATTGTTTTTTCATTACAATTTTTTTTTCTTAAAGAAGAAATAATAAACATTATCATTATTTTACCTTTTCTGTAACATTTCCCTCTTTCCTGTTCAGTTGGCTTTATATATTTATAATTTATACTACAATCACACAAGCCATGACGACAAATCATGTTTCTGTCAGTTGCTTGACACTCTTCATTAGTCTCACACTTATCATGGTAAGATGCTATTGAAATGATTGAAATTCATTAAAACAATATTGACACAAATCCAATTAATTAAAATTAACTAATTTTTAATAAGTTATTGATAGTTTTAATATCCAAAACATAAAAAATATAATTGATTTCAAACAAATACCTTAGTAATAGATAGGGCCAGTAATATTTTTTATAACAAAAAAATAATAACTAGTTACTAGTAACCTGTAGATAAACAATGATTAATTAATGAGAAATTAAGAAATTAACAGTAGAAATAACAGCTGATTCACATTAGAACAGTTTAACTTTAAAAATATAAAATATGTTACTAATTCTGTATTCTGTATCTGTAAGATACAATACTGAAATATTAAATAAAATATATAAATTTATTTTAATTACTTATAAATGAATTAATAAGAAAGTATTACATAAAAACACTTCAAAATTTTCAAAATCCAAAAATAACACAGTAAAAAATATTGAAGTTTTCTTAAATAATGTTAATAATTATTGTTTTAAATACAATTATAAAAAGCAGAATTATTCCAATAAAGATCTTATGTCTGAGATAGTAAAGAAATTAATCTAATATTCTGAGAAACTTAAATATGTTAACATTTTCTCTCATCATTAAGATGCTCTATTATGAGTCCAATGAATAGTCACAAAAACAATCCTCTTGATGCCAAAGACAAGGTCTGTACTAAAGAACTACTTATATACATAAATAGGTATATATTATATACATATATAGGTGTATGAAGTATTGATATAACATACTCCCTGCAAATATCAAAAACTCACATGTTATAAGTGAGATATATGATTTTAAAATCATATGTTAATTAACATATGACTTCATGTCATATGTTAATAGTGGGATCTTAATAGAATATCAATACAAAAACTTCATAGAATATATGAAAAACTTTGAGCTGCAATTTGAAAAAACTGTAGGCCTATAAATTCCCACTGTCGTCCATCTGTCTGTCTTTCCTTAACACATTGACTACTACTTCATTTTCAATGAAACTTCCCAAAATGCCACAGTTTCATTTTTGCATAAATATATTTTCCTTGTGGATAGAACTCATTTTTATTTTTTTTCACTATTTTTATATTTCATAATTTTTAATGTATAATAATAAATAAATATATAAATAAAATTTTAATTTTTGTCCATTTGGCAATTTTTTTCAATTGAGTTTGCCGTTTTCATTACCATAGAATAGTTACTTTTGACAATAAAGAGATATAATTGTAATAAATTACAAAGTGAATACAATATTAATGGCTTGCTATTTGAGTAAGATTATTCAAATTTTGACAATCCAAAATTTTTGCTTGATAATGAAGATATTTCAGATTGAAAATCAAGAAATTAGTAATTCTAGCATGTTAGAAAATAAACTTGTTGATATGCCTATTTGTGAAGATGAAGATGGGTTGTTGATGATGAAGAAGGAAATGTAATAACTACTGAGGGAGAAATTCAATGGAAAGCTTTTTCTGGAAAGCAGTTCTCTTTTCAGTTTACAGGAAAATCTGGAATTCAAGTAGAAATTGATCTGAATGCCTCTCTGATGAAGATTTATTCATTATTTTTGGATAATGAAATAATCGAAGCAAATAGATATGCAGATAAATATATTAGTAATATTCAAATGAAACCAAAATCAAGATATCTTAAATGGAAAATCTGTTTTTGTTAGTGAAATAAGGAAATTTCTTGGACTTTTATTGTAGATGGATCTTAATAAAAGAGGTTCAATTTCATCACACTGGTCAATGAACTGTGTATTTCTTCTGATATTGTAATTGTACTTTTGGTTAATTGCTTATCTGTATTTGTGTAATTATTTAATAAAAAAAGTAAATTTATTGCTATTATCATCTTTGTTTCACATTATTTTTTTAATATGCAAAATGTAATTATTATTTCATGCCACAAAAACATTATTTCAACTTAAACACAGGCACCACATAATTTAAAACCCATAGAATAATAGATTACATGTATTGTAGATGCATTATATAATGTGATTTAAGGAAACTTCTGTGTATTACACCTATGTTACAAATAGTCCCTTCAGAAGTGTTACTGTATGACACATATATAATATGTGGCAGTCAATGTGTTAATTAAGGTCTGAGTTACAACTGAATATAACTGCATTTGGACAATCTGTCAACAAGGAAAACTTTTCAATTTTAGCATCAAAGGTCTTGGTTCTATTTTGTTTATCAATCTTCATAAATTTTCCTCTCATTCAAGCCTTTGAGTTTGAATAGTAAGTCACAGGAAATGATTTAATGTCATTAAAATGTCTCTTTTCTAGTAACAAGAGAAAATATTTTTTTATCAGTTCCATCTAATTATGTCATAGCAAGATTGTGTTTTGCATTCTCTTTGCTCATATTATGTACAGAACACATTTTACTTTTGAATATAAGTGTGATCAGAAGTACAGTAGAGCATCAATTATTCAAATACTGATCAACCGAAACATCAGTTAATTGAAAGCGTTCCATAAGGCAAATTCAAATTTCCGCTAGTGCTGTGGTGCTGTAATATTTGGCTATGACTTGGGCTACTCCAATATTATTTTTTGTTGTTGTGCATGTTTTAGCTGGCAGCACTGACACGACCATATTGTATCATTAAAAATTATTTCTTTATTTTGCACAAACAAAATAAATATATTGAAAAATATAAAAACAAAAGAAAAAAAAATTATATTTCAGAAGTTAATCTAATATCAAAAATATTCCAATTCAGCAGGACACACGTCGAGAGGGCACTTAAGGACACGCCAGTATTTGAACGAGGCTTTTTTCCTCCCATTGTGAGTGGTGTGTTTTGCTTCAGCTTGTCAGAGAATATAGCCTAAGCAGTTGATATTTTCAGATAAAACCAAGAACAAGAAAGAGCTTTTCTTGTTTTGTATGGTGTTTTTCTGAGGACTGTGCATTGTGCTGAATTGGAACATTTTTGATACTAGAACTTCCAAAATATAATTTTTTTTTGTTTTTATATTTTTTTAATATATTTATTTTGTTTGTGCAAAATAAAGAAATAATTTTTAATAATACAATAGCCACAATTATTATTTTAAAAAAATTTTCGTTAGGCTTAACATTGACGAAAATTCAACAGAGAAAAATTTCAACATGAGATAGGTTAATATATTTTTTCATACATGATCAGTTATTCAAACAACCACAGTCCCGAACTGTTTTGGATAATCGATGCTCTACTGTATTTAGTAAAAAAGGCCAGTCTTGTATTAGTTGTAAATGTCTGTGTCTTTGTATTCAAGCCATTTCAACTGATATTTGCAGGTAATATTCATTCACAATGTTATACTACGTTTGCACACAATCCACGACTCACTTCAATCTCGATTTACCTACAATCTGGATTTGTGACTGTCGCTAGTCGAACGTCGTGCTGTTCGCACAGGCAGTCCGCTCGAGAAGAACCTGGCTATTACACACAATCATAAAAATGATGTAACTACGCGGTAAGTCACAAACACCAACAAACAAAATGGAAGTTTTGGTTAGAAATAAATACTTTTTCTTGCCATACATCTAATAATAGACAGATGTCGTCGTCTCTCCAGATGTCTTTTTTATTTCTCTGTCGATAGCCCGANATACAATTATAAAAAGCAGAATTATTCCAATAAAGATCTTATGTCTGAGATAGTAAAGAAATTAATCTAATATTCTGAGAAACTTAAATATGTTAACATTTTCTCTCATCATTAAGATGCTCTATTATGAGTCCAATGAATAGTCACAAAAACAATCCTCTTGATGCCAAAGACAAGGTCTGTACTAAAGAACTACTTATATACATAAATAGGTATATATTATATACATATATAGGTGTATGAAGTATTGATATAACATACTCCCTGCAAATATCAAAAACTCACATGTTATAAGTGAGATATATGATTTTAAAATCATATGTTAATTAACATATGACTTCATGTCATATGTTAATAGTGGGATCTTAATAGAATATCAATACAAAAACTTCATAGAATATATGAAAAACTTTGAGCTGCAATTTGAAAAAACTGTAGGCCTATAAATTCCCACTGTCGTCCATCTGTCTGTCTTTCCTTAACACATTGACTACTACTTCATTTTCAATGAAACTTCCCAAAATGCCACAGTTTCATTTTTGCATAAATATATTTTCCTTGTGGATAGAACTCATTTTTATTTTTTTTCACTATTTTTATATTTCATAATTTTTAATGTATAATAATAAATAAATATATAAATAAAATTTTAATTTTTGTCCATTTGGCAATTTTTTTCAATTGAGTTTGCCGTTTTCATTACCATAGAATAGTTACTTTTGACAATAAAGAGATATAATTGTAATAAATTACAAAGTGAATACAATATTAATGGCTTGCTATTTGAGTAAGATTATTCAAATTTTGACAATCCAAAATTTTTGCTTGATAATGAAGATATTTCAGATTGAAAATCAAGAAATTAGTAATTCTAGCATGTTAGAAAATAAACTTGTTGATATGCCTATTTGTGAAGATGAAGATGGGTTGTTGATGATGAAGAAGGAAATGTAATAACTACTGAGGGAGAAATTCAATGGAAAGCTTTTTCTGGAAAGCAGTTCTCTTTTCAGTTTACAGGAAAATCTGGAATTCAAGTAGAAATTGATCTGAATGCCTCTCTGATGAAGATTTATTCATTATTTTTGGATAATGAAATAATCGAAGCAAATAGATATGCAGATAAATATATTAGTAATATTCAAATGAAACCAAAATCAAGATATCTTAAATGGAAAATCTGTTTTTGTTAGTGAAATAAGGAAATTTCTTGGACTTTTATTGTAGATGGATCTTAATAAAAGAGGTTCAATTTCATCACACTGGTCAATGAACTGTGTATTTCTTCTGATATTGTAATTGTACTTTTGGTTAATTGCTTATCTGTATTTGTGTAATTATTTAATAAAAAAAGTAAATTTATTGCTATTATCATCTTTGTTTCACATTATTTTTTTAATATGCAAAATGTAATTATTATTTCATGCCACAAAAACATTATTTCAACTTAAACACAGGCACCACATAATTTAAAACCCATAGAATAATAGATTACATGTATTGTAGATGCATTATATAATGTGATTTAAGGAAACTTCTGTGTATTACACCTATGTTACAAATAGTCCCTTCAGAAGTGTTACTGTATGACACATATATAATATGTGGCAGTCAATGTGTTAATTAAGGTCTGAGTTACAACTGAATATAACTGCATTTGGACAATCTGTCAACAAGGAAAACTTTTCAATTTTAGCATCAAAGGTCTTGGTTCTATTTTGTTTATCAATCTTCATAAATTTTCCTCTCATTCAAGCCTTTGAGTTTGAATAGTAAGTCACAGGAAATGATTTAATGTCATTAAAATGTCTCTTTTCTAGTAACAAGAGAAAATATTTTTTTATCAGTTCCATCTAATTATGTCATAGCAAGATTGTGTTTTGCATTCTCTTTGCTCATATTATGTACAGAACACATTTTACTTTTGAATATAAGTGTGATCAGAAGTACAGTAGAGCATCAATTATTCAAATACTGATCAACCGAAACATCAGTTAATTGAAAGCGTTCCATAAGGCAAATTCAAATTTCCGCTAGTGCTGTGGTGCTGTAATATTTGGCTATGACTTGGGCTACTCCAATATTATTTTTTGTTGTTGTGCATGTTTTAGCTGGCAGCACTGACACGACCATATTGTATCATTAAAAATTATTTCTTTATTTTGCACAAACAAAATAAATATATTGAAAAATATAAAAACAAAAGAAAAAAAAATTATATTTCAGAAGTTAATCTAATATCAAAAATATTCCAATTCAGCAGGACACACGTCGAGAGGGCACTTAAGGACACGCCAGTATTTGAACGAGGCTTTTTTCCTCCCATTGTGAGTGGTGTGTTTTGCTTCAGCTTGTCAGAGAATATAGCCTAAGCAGTTGATATTTTCAGATAAAACCAAGAACAAGAAAGAGCTTTTCTTGTTTTGTATGGTGTTTTTCTGAGGACTGTGCATTGTGCTGAATTGGAACATTTTTGATACTAGAACTTCCAAAATATAATTTTTTTTTGTTTTTATATTTTTTTAATATATTTATTTTGTTTGTGCAAAATAAAGAAATAATTTTTAATAATACAATAGCCACAATTATTATTTTAAAAAAATTTTCGTTAGGCTTAACATTGACGAAAATTCAACAGAGAAAAATTTCAACATGAGATAGGTTAATATATTTTTTCATACATGATCAGTTATTCAAACAACCACAGTCCCGAACTGTTTTGGATAATCGATGCTCTACTGTATTTAGTAAAAAAGGCCAGTCTTGTATTAGTTGTAAATGTCTGTGTCTTTGTATTCAAGCCATTTCAACTGATATTTGCAGGTAATATTCATTCACAATGTTATACTACGTTTGCACACAATCCACGACTCACTTCAATCTCGATTTACCTACAATCTGGATTTGTGACTGTCGCTAGTCGAACGTCGTGCTGTTCGCACAGGCAGTCCGCTCGAGAAGAACCTGGCTATTACACACAATCATAAAAATGATGTAACTACGCGGTAAGTCACAAACACCAACAAACAAAATGGAAGTTTTGGTTAGAAATAAATACTTTTTCTTGCCATACATCTAATAATAGACAGATGTCGTCGTCTCTCCAGATGTCTTTTTTATTTCTCTGTCGATAGCCCGACACGTGTTCTGCAGCCATCCTGTACTTTCTCGCACACGTGTGATTGTGGGATCTCTCTTATGACTGGATCTAGTTTCAAGAACTCTCTCCAGTTGATCGTGATTGAACCTCGTTTCAGTCGAGATTGAAACAGTCGAGAGCGTTCGCACCACGCAACAGGTTCCGACCTTAGTCACAATCTAGATCGAAATGCTCGGTGCAAACGGGGTATTAGGACCAACATTAGCTTCCTTACTACTAACAACCTTAAAAACAACATAACACTTTAAACTGGTCTAGCCAGAAAGAATTTGCAATAAAGTAAATCACCACAAAGTTGTTTATTGTTGAATACCTGCCTTTGCTTTGATTAACAATAATGGACCAGTGATTAGCAACTTTTTAGAATGCACTATTTTGAATCAGATTGAGAGTTGCTTTTCTAGATCAATGTTTTAGCAAAATGCATTTCCTTACTTGTTTACATTCTACTTGTGTCATAATGCTTGATGGTGTCATCTTGTTTTTTTACAATGTTTTACATTGTGCTTTTGCAACATCCCATTCTTTAATAGCTAAAGCATATAATTTCTTGTACTCCATTACAACAAAAATTGTAGCAATTTTTTCAAGCAATATAGCTTTTCATTTGCTCATTTTTTCCTAATAAAATGAGCAATTATTTATTGTGACATTGTCACAATGTTGGGCTGCAATTTTTCATCACAATTCTCTCAAATTTAGTAGTGTCTTGCCCCTGTACATCATACTTTCCTATTAACAATGAAGTCATGCTGGTCATTTATCTATGTTCAAGAGAAAATTTTTCAATTGAAATAATGTGACTTCTGGTTTAAACCAGAAGTTCAAATATGGTTAATTGGGCCTCCTGCTCCTAAGCTTTCTGTAACTGGTTTCAACTTTCATCTATCTAACTCCACTCTCAAGATTAAGGAAAGACAGACAGATGTTAGCAGGAAGTTATAGGTTTACAATTTTTGAAAATTGCAGCCCAATTAATGCTTTTTGGGGAAAGAAAAGTTGTTTGAAAACATAGACATCAGCTGTAAAAATATTGAACCCATTTTACTTTGTAGCCTACATAGCAGTATAACAAAAAAAAGAAAGCATTACAAAAGGATAACAGCAAATTTTCAAATTTTCGCCAAAAAATACTTCTTCCTTTTTTGTTGTAACTTGGTGCTCCATCTTACTCTGTTAGAACTGAAGAGTTAAGTAATGCATTGTCCTTCTATAATGTTGTATTTTTCTGGGCAGCCTCAAAGTTGAGAAATGTTAGCTATATATACACACATGCACACACACACACACACTGTGTGTGTTTACAAGTTCAAACAAAATGCAATTTTTTAAATTTATTAATATTTTATGATGTAATTTAAAGAAAAAAGGTACTGAACATTCATGTTATAATTGCTGCAATTATTAATTATTATTCAGATATATAACTGGTGTGACAAACAATTCTAAAGTATACAAAAAAAAAAAAAAATTTCAGATTTATGAACAATAATACATCTGAAATATTTATAAAAAATAAAATAGATTCATAAAATAAATAGTACTGTAACTGTACATCAATATTTTAAATGACATACCTATTTCATAACACTTTCCAAGAATCCAATGGGATTTCCAATGCAGTCTAAATTGATATAAATTTACATATATGTTTTTGTTATCACAGTCACATTTATTATTGATGCATCTCATTTTAGTTTCATTTCTTAAGCAATCAAAATCATCTTCACAAAACATTCCTTTAGTCACTAATAAAAAATATTACATTATTATTAATTATGAAAGTTTATTAAAAATTCATATAGGTTAATTATCAATAATTAATACAGTATTTTAGGACAACAATAGGAATAAAATACAGTACTTTTATTCCTATCATTGTCTTTCAAACTACCAGTGTAAGTGAAACAATAACTTCATCAAGATCTAAATAAACAAAACAGGTGGACAGATCAATTATCATTTGTTTCCTTTGATATTAAGGTTGATATTAAAGGTTGTTTATTGGTTTTAAGTACTGTCTCCTCATTTATAAGTTTCTGTGAATTTGAAATTTCATACTTTTATGTAAATTGATTGTATTCTGTCAATTCACATAAAAGTGTGAAATTTCAAATTCACTGTGTAATGAGTAAGGAAAATATTTTATTTCTGAATGGAAAGTTCTAAAATTTTTATACAGTAATAACTCTATTTTGCTTTTTAGAGAATTTTTACTCTAATTTTGTAAGTTTTGGTGTTTTATTATATGTTCAATATTTATTTTTTAAATTTTCAATTACTGTATTTATAATTTTTATTGAAAAATATAAATTACACAAATTTTTAATAAGTGATTTATTATGAAATATAGTACTGTATAATAAAATTGCAACTGTTATTTTGTTTATATATTGACAGTATTTGTCTTTAAATGTCATTGTTAAAGAAACAATAATGTTAAATGGGCGTTCATGGTATCAATGTTTATGTAAACCTCAATTAATACGATATAACCACAAATAAAATTCAGTATTGCAAAACTAAGTTTATTTTATATCAGAAACACTTGCTGATGAAAGAATAGAGGATAGAGATTCCATAGCATGTATAATTTGTTTAGTAAAGGCCTAGAATTTTTAGTACTCAATTATATCATGCTTTTTCTTTGTCTTCAAACAAGTGTGATATAATGAGGGGCTACTGTATTAACAAAAACATCATTCTGTATAAATAGCCATATTCTATTTACTTAATAAATTACATCAGTTAACCTTCATTTGGCATATTATACAGAAATATGTAAATCTCGGATAATTTTAAGTTGCGATTATTTCATCCCTTGAATTTCAAGCTAACAAGGATATCCTGTATAAGTTTTAATTATAAGTATTAAAAAAATTTTCAAGTATTAGAATATTAAATGTTGGCAATTAAGATTCATTATAATAATTTTATGAACATTACAAAAAAATCACAACAGAATTACTTTATTTCATTTTCAAATGGACTGTTTGATAATTAAATTTTAATTATGTATATTAATATTTTAATCAATTCATTTATAATAGTTTATAAGAATGATTTGAAAATTCTCAATAAAATTTAACTTTTGTTATAATTTGTCATTTAATAAAAATAATAATACTATTCTTATTTTGCATATAGTTTTTATAACTAAGTGATTACATCATAATAAAATTATATTCACAGTAAAATCTTATAATAATCATTTAAAACATATGAATGTTAATTATGATCAGCAAGTTTATTGTTATTATTATTTTCATTCAAATTTAAAATTTTTTTATTTAAATTCTTTGAATTTTTCTAAAGTTCAAAATGACATTAAAAAATCATATTATTAAATATTACAATTTTTAATCTGGCAATGTTTAAAGATTAATCTTAATAATAAATTTCTTTAATTATTTGATCATAATATCTATATTGTAATTTTTAAACAATGGAACTCAATTATCGAAACAATGATTAACCAAATGTCCAATTATCTGAATCACTACTTATCCATCCTTTCTCTCTCCCACTGATGTCACACTGCAATTCTCCTGTCATGTGACACCTATTTGCTGTGACAGATCCACGGGATCAATAGTATGCTACTTGCATATTGATGAATAAATAAATATAGTACAGTACATGTACGAGGGCAGGCTGAAAAGTAATGCACATATGCTTGTAGAACACAAACAAAAACAAATAGCAAGATTGGGCAAAAATTGCATTAAAGTATAATTCTTAAGCTTCAAAATCATATATTTATTTTTCAACATAGTCACCGTTAAGGCTAACAAATTTCTCCCAACGTGTAACAAGTTTTTTCAGTCCGTCACTGAAAAATTCTCCTGACTTTTCTCGAATCAAGGACTTGACAGCTGCCTTCACCTCATCGTCTGAGGTGTAATGATTTACCTCTTAAGTAGAGGAAACAAATAAAAATCACAAGGCACAAGATCGGGGGAATAAGGAGGGTGTAGAATCGGTTCAAACTTCAGGTTTCGCAGAGCCTCTCCAGTTGCGTGCGAGGTGTGTGGACGAGCGTTGTCATGTTGCAAGATTATTGGTGCCAGGCTGCCTCTAACATATCAAACTCAACATCAGAGGTGTTTTAGAGTCTGTATGTACTGAAAAGAATTAAACATTGCAACAAGGTGCAACGGTAATTATCTGTGGCAGTGATCAGACTTCCGCTGTGTGTTTCATCAACAATTATGGCTTTTCCAGGCTCGCAACCACGAAATTTTATTATCCATCAATTTACAATAGACCTATCAATAGCATCGCCAGCGTAAACAGCCTTTAAATGTAATTTTTTCAGCAGTTAAAAATTCTATGACAGCACGCTGTTTAACTCGCGTTGACATAGCACCAGAACATGTCTCCATATTTCCGCTTCTCAAAATGTACTGAATGAACGCAACAACCTTAAACTGTGCATGCACATAGGGGGGGAATGTTACTTCCATATGCCACCTGGCATGCTTCTGAAAATCATTTCGTTTGTGCTCTACAAGCATGTGTGCATTACTTTTCAGCCTGCCCTTGTACAATATGATGCTGTTTCCCTATAATTTCATTCTTTACATGTTAATCCACTTAAATTTTTGATTATTCAAATCACCTTCAAACAAATCAATTTGGATAATTGGAGTTTTGTACTAACGAAATATTTCAAGAAATATGAACATTTAATTTCAATAAAAATGTTTTGATCCAATTTATTAAATTATTACAGTTAAAAATCTCATCAAGAAATATATGTAAATATAATTATAATCCAAATTATTTGTAAATGAAACAATGTAAACTGTTTAATAATAATACAATAAATATAAGTACAACTTTTAACAAAGAAAGAATCTTTCCTTCAGTCATTTCCTTCTGTTGTTCGCACCATCAGCAGCACTTATTATTAATTTTACTTGAAATGTAAACTGCTACATTACTTGCATATATTTCAAAGTTATAATTGTTGACCATTATATAATTTTGTATTAAAAATATACAATATTACTATTTTATAGAAGATTTAATAACCAAAATTTTTAATGAAATTAAAAATTAATTTTGGTTATTAAATCTTCTATAAAATAGTAATATTGTATATTTTAAATAATTCAGAAGTATCTGGAAGAAAAGACTGACTGACCCAGGACGACTCAAACTCAGTCCTTATGGAGTGAGTGATTATGTTACCAATTACACTAGCCAGACTTATTTAATCTTTGCCTTCAAAAATATATATGAATTAAGATTATAATATAATCACACAAGACAATTGTCATATTGATCAGCAAAATATTTGTTAATTAACATTTGATTCATAGCATTTAACCAGTTGCAATATTCACTCTTGCATGATATATATGTAACAACAAACTACAGTCCAAATCATAACTACATTCTCAACAGTTGTACAGTACATTGGTTTCTTATAGTCAATTCCGCTTAATTGGACACATTGGGACTAATCCATTCTGGTCCAATTAAGCAGTTGCCCCAATTAAACAAACTAATAATAAGTTCTAAAATATAATATGTAATATTATATTTTAGAAAATAAAATAAAATAAAAAACTCTTCAAACCTTTAACCGGAATGCTTCTATTTTTAGAATTGCGAACGTTTTCGTCGCCCCTCCTGGGCACTTCTTCAGGCTATAACGAATGGGCCTTTAATATTCAAATAAACATTCGATACAAATCTCTTCCAAATTCTATCATTTAAAATCGTTATTCATCCTTTTAAACACTGTAATCTACCTTATCCTTGTAACTCTTTTGTTTCATTTGATTTCCTTATTTTAAAAGTTGCCATCCACCTATAGTATTCTTTTTGGTTCTCTGTGAGACCTTTCAAGAGGATTTCTATGTCAGGAATATAAGACGAGGCAGCTCAGGTCATTGCAGGTTTAGGTATGTATGAGGGTTCAATTAAGTTTTGATAACACCTCTTTGGCAAACTCAGGAACTTGAATGTTGTCCCACACTACAAATGGACACTTTTTTATTTTTGATTCTCTGGGAACTTGAAACCTAAATATCCAGTTTATCTTTCTGTTATAATGTTGTCTCAGATTACCACTCAATCTTTGCTGGATCTTGGATAGTTTGGCATTTTCGATAGTCAAGGATCTTGGGTGTTGTAAAAATAATGCCTCTTCAGTTGCTATAAGCCTTGCCAAGTTAAAATATAGTGATTTTTTAGTGCTTTTAATGGCCCTATTTAAGCACATCCATCTTACTTTTTTAAGGATTCGTTCATTTCCAGGTGGCAGATGTATACGATAAATAGACATGGGAAATACCCCATTCTCTTTACATTTTTGAAGAAATTCTAGTTTGGCCCTTGCCTTCTAAAAATAGAAGCACTCCGGTTAAAAGTTTGAAGAGTTTTTTATTTTATTTTATTTAAACACCGATGTGTAGAGAGATTGTATGTAGGTAAATAAATAAGTAGTAAAAAAATGATAATTAGGTACCTATTTTAATGTTTTATTAAACCAAAATACAGAAAATATTTGTACTATAAACTTGCCAGACTCACGACAATAGATAACAGATTCACATCATGCTAGTGTTGCCAAATATTAGTAGTAACATACACAAGGATCGACAGTTTGATCAGGAATGTATCGAACGATCTTTCCTTTCTCCCTTTTTAGTTAGAATGTGTTTGAGTTTGTCTAAAAGTCACAATTATGGACTTTCTTTGAGCACAGTTTTTTCTATTTGGAGATGGGCCACTTTAGTGGGAGCATCCGTAGAATCTGCCAGCTCCAGATGCTGGAGCATCCCAACAATTGGATGTCTGCTGTCTGAGTCTAGACATAATCATGCACACAACACCTTCCAAACTCTAGACTCTAGCTGTCTTCCAACTTGGTTGGTAGGGAACTCTAGCTGTCTTCCAACTTGGTTGAGAGACTTCAAAAAATTGTCCTGGAGTCTTTGTCCCTTTGCTTTTAAAGGGATTGTCCAGTCCAATCCAAAGCAGAGTCAGTAGCTTGCATTCAGGTCCACCTTAGACAGGATCCCAGTGTGATATATCCTGCTATGCTAAACCCCTCTGGAAAAACCAAACTCCCCGAGCAAAAGACAAAATTGCTTTGTCTCCGCCAACCGTTAGGCATACACAACATTAGTGTACATAGTGTTGATATATTTTCGGAAGATCCCTAAAATATATCAAAAATTGTTAAATTTTTTTCTGCTACTGTCCCAATTAAGTGTTTAAATTATGTATTAGTTCATTAGTTTGGTTTTCATTCTTTGAGATTTGGCCCAATAAAACGGCTGCCCCAATTAACAGGTGGCCCAATTAAGCGAAATCGACTGTATTCTAAACAAGCTAATGACTAAAACTTTTCTTTCATCTATTGGAATATAACAAGGGCTCAAATCTCAGGGTTAAAACATTAATTCATTTATTAATTTCATATTTCTTTCATTGATGTCGTAAGTCTGAGGTTTGAGCTTAGTTATATTTCAGTAGATAAAAGAAAAGTTGTGATTGTCAAATAATCAGAATATAACTAGATGTGTTATATACACAGTCTGATTTGATTCATTTAAAAGAAATTATCAAAATCTGATTTCAATTTAACTCAAAAAATTAGATCTAATCAGTAGTTAATTAGAGTTTTGCAACACATAATAGGATAATTTACTTATAACTATTTAAAAATATGGCATGCTTCTGAAAATCATTTCGTTTGTGCTCTACAAGCATGTGTGCATTACTTTTCAGCCTGCCCTTGTACAATATGATGCTGTTTCCCTATAATTTCATTCTTTACATGTTAATCCACTTAAATTTTTGATTATTCAAATCACCTTCAAACAAATCAATTTGGATAATTGGAGTTTTGTACTAACGAAATATTTCAAGAAATATGAACATTTAATTTCAATAAAAATGTTTTGATCCAATTTATTAAATTNAATATTAATATTTTATATATCAATTGCTTATTTTCTAATAAATAATAGTTTCTAACAAACAAAAAATTTGATTACTGTACAAACAAAATGAAATATTTTCCTCTTAATCTTGAAGACAAGGCAAAATACTTTTGCAAATATTTTATAAATTAATAAATAATCTTACTTAATCTGATCTTTAATGCTACAAAGTGTGGAAGAAAGAAAAGAGTTAATCCAGAATCAATGGATTAATTCTGACAATGAAAGATAATGTCAATCTATCACACCCATTACTAATGCATTAGTGTAGCTACAGAACATAAAATGTAGGCAAAATTAAAGATCATTTCTTATGATTTTATCCATATTTTATGTTCCTTGATAGAAGATGATTCAAACTTATGATAAAATAATTCTTATTGAGTATTATAAACAAAAAATTCTACAAAAGGAAAAAAAAAAAGGAGAAAAATCTTAATAAACAAAACATTGAATACCTTTAAGCTTAAAAATGGCTCACCTTCAGAAACTTTTTAGTTTGTATTTTGGTTTCCATGTAATAAAAATTCTTGAAAAGAAGCCATTTTTAAACTTTAATTCAAACATTTTAATTTACGTTTTTTTTTTTTC